ACAATTCCTGTTGAACATGATTAGGACGAACAGTGGGATATTCCAGGTGTGATACAAACCAAAACATTTTCATGCCATTTTTTCTCATGAGCCTTCATTTGGTGACAATGGCGGACAACTGTCACTCATAAAGTTCCGTGGAGAAACTTGACCATCTTGTTTTTCCCTGAAAGAAAAAGTGAAAAGCAGTCTAAAGGATTTTATATAGCGCAATTATCTGCCTAGAGGGATATAATGATTGTGTCTAATCTGTACACTCATGTAGCTACATTCCAAAAAACCTAAAAAACTAACACAGAAGTGAATCAGTGACAATAACTACCCCTTCAAAAAATTTAAAACAAAGTTAGCAAATCCTTGAGATACCACATTTGTGTGTAATTTGTAATTTCTAGTACAAGTACTAGGCGGAACAGACAGTTTTGTTGTACTGTTGAAGTAAATAGATATTTTCTCCTCAAGAGAAAAAATTTAGACATTCACTGTATTGTTTGTTCTGGTGTTTGTAGTTAGCTCCTGGTCATATTGTTTATCATGCACTGTGCTGAGTGGCAGAAACACTACTCACACATCATAGTTGAGATGTTCAATGACAGTGTCAACATGTTCCTTAGCTATCTCTCCATCAATCTCAGCCAGGTATGTATACAGCTCCTTAAACAGTGAGAATGGAATTCGTGCAGGACCTCCTTCTAGATCAGTCGTTAAAATCTCACAAACTGTTTTCATTGCCAATGTAAGATTCTGAAAGAAAGAACAGTTGAGGATAATAGCTGAGAGAGCATAATATAATATCTGTCTTGCTAAATTCCTAATATTTTTGTCTCTTCCTCTAACCCACATTTGCAGAACATCCTAGGCTCAAATTTTTCCATCTACATACAACCTTTTCCTTTTTCTTCTTTTCTTTTGCATTTTAAAGTTAAGTGGACATGTCCTCTTTCTATTTGTCAAGAAATGTTTGACATGACCCATTACTCTTCTCAAAGAGTAATGTAAAAGTGTTGTGTATGAGAAGTGAAGATGGTCATCTTGATAGAAGGATGACACTGCACTCAGTCACAGTTCATAGAACATTAACTCATGATCAATACCTGTTTGAACTTTACCAATTTTGAATTCTGAACTCACCCCTTTTGCCTTAGTACAATGTACATGTTTTGTCCTTGTGCATGATTTCACATGATTTTCTTTTAGCCAAGTGTAACCCAGAATGTGCTTGCACATATGCTTGAACTTGCTGTCATCATTTTCCAGATTTTTCATCTTGTTGTAATTTCTTGCCATGTTTAGGATTGACCTTGCCACTGTTACTGGAGTTTTGGGTCTAGCCTCTTCACCATAAATTCAATTTTTATTTTAGTTTCAGATTATGTGGTTGTTCATTAAATACTGTTAAATTGTTTGCTTTGGAGTTTGAGCCTACAATTTGTCAGATATAATTCCCAACATACCACCAACCAAAAGGTATCGCATTATTCACATCTCTGTGGTGCTACGCTTTATTATCAGAATGAAATATTGTGAGGCAAGTATGCTTTAAGATTATTCCCTTATCCATCAGGTAGAGTATTTATCAAAATATACTCAAGATGGAATCTACACTCATCAGTTATGTTTCCTTTCTGGGAGGAAAGGCCAAACACAGGGCTTTCTGTTAGCACCAAGATCCAATGAAAATTGCTGTATAGAAGCCCTGTATGTGACAGTTACTCAAGATTTTTTCAAGATATGTATCTGACTTTGAATAAGAAAGAATTGCTCTTCTTCTGAGAAAACCCTGTAAAAAAGTTCCACATATAATTAAAACCACAAAAAATTAAAGATTCACTGTTTTATAGATCTATGCTTGATGATTGTGCATATAATTGTTCACCTCACTGATTGCACTGCAAGCAAGAGCAAGAAAATGAAGCCACTTGAGCTCTTCAGCAAAACTTCCCATCCTAGAAAAATAATTGAAACCGTGAATTATTACATTTTACATTAAGTACCACAGTAAGATAAGCCAGCTAGACAATTCAGTGGCAGAGCAAAACTTATTTTGTTAAATTTTATTACTATACATCCATCTTTTTTGTTATTTGGCATATGTGACTAATCAATGATCAATGCCATGGATGAGTATTTGATGCGTAATTGATTCTCAGTAATCAACTGATTAGTCATTGATTATTGGTGATGATCAATGAGTAACTGATGTTTAACTGATGACCAAAAATTTTGTGTCCATTTGATTACTTGTCGATGGATTGATTATTCATTGATGATACTGATTATGACTAATGGATGACTGAACATTCAGTGGCCTATCAATAATTATCATTCGATTACTCATTGATCAGCAACAATAATCAATGACTTATCAACTCATCACCCATACAATCATGTAGATTACCCATGGATTACTCATTCAATTCACTGATGTCATCAATTAC